CCAAGAGATTGATATAGACATGGGATTATCCATAAAGGGAATATTGACAAGGGATTGTCTTTAGCAGAGTTTGTTATAGACAGGATTGTCTACACCAAGAGATTGATATAGACATGGGATTATCCATAAAGGGAATATTGAAAAGGGATTGTCTTTAGCACAGTTTGTTATAGACAGGATTGTCTACACCAAGAGATTGATATAGACATGGGATTATCCATAAAGGGAATATTGACAAGGGATTGTCTTTAGCAGAGTTTGTTATAGACAGAGGATTGTCTACACCAAGAGAATGATATAGACGATGGATTGTTTATAGGAGATTATGATATTCTCTATAGCAGAGTATGGAATGAACAGAGAAATGTACTAAGCAGGGTGTAGTACTAAGCAGGGTGTAGTACTAAGCAGGGTGTAGTACTAAGCAGGGTGTAGTACTAATTTGTTTTGTGGGAAACAAAAGGAAAAAGGAACAAAAGAGATATTGTTATTGATGTTGTTGTGGTTAAGAGCATTGTAGTCAGATGATTGTTTATTTATGTAGGTAAAAGTTTGTTGACAATTACCAAGGGACTGAATGATGTCTTTGATGTGTATGTCTGTCGGAGGCGCGGTGACCTAAAGGCTCCCTCTTGGGCGGAGGTGTTGATCGACTCTACATGGAGTTCTCCAGCACCCCCCATCCCACACCCCCAACTGTTCTAGGCAGCCACTGTCAGTTTTTTTCATGCCTTTTCCATCTGCTTTTGTTTCTACTTGTGGGTGGTTGGAGGGTGCTCTGTTGTGATTTGCCTTTTCTTTCCTATCAAACATGATCTATCATCCTTATCTCCTTTCTTTTCATTGTTTGTTATTCTCTAGTAGACCACTAATCTTTGGCACTTATTTTGTATTGCAAGTACTGCAAAACTCTTACTAAAAGTCAAAACTTTCTACTTGAATGCTGACCTCTGTGTGTGTGTGCGTGTGTGCTTTCATTGTTTGCATGTGTGGGAAACTTGAACTCTCTGCATAGCTGCCAACCAGTACGTAAAAACGCATTAAATATCTTTTTGAGGGTGTGAGTGTGGACGTCTGTTTTTTGTATCTGAATTGACATGTTCACTGAACTTTCAAGACTGGATTTGCCAATAATTATTTGAAAATAAAGAAAGCCCATAAGTCAGTTGTAGAGATGTTTTTACAGGTTGAATTTATTGAATACTGAAAAGTGTTTGGAGTGGGGTTACTGTTACTTGGCTGATGCCTACCATGTTGAACCTCTGCGAGGGTAGATTGAATTTTTTTAATTGGAAAAAATTGGCAGCTATGCGATTGTTTGCATGTGTGGGGGACTTGAGCTTTGTGACTTTGGCGAGATATTTCTTGCTCCCCTCCCCCTTGTCATTCCTAGATGTCTTGGGGAACTAACACACTGACATCGCACACTTTGTTTTCCTCAATTTATGTTTTTTTGTTGTTGTTTTTTTTTCTTTAAGGAGGGGATGTAAACAGTTTGGTGAGGTTTACGTTAAGGCGGTGTATGTAAGTGCATGACATGTGGGACATGAGCACCTGTGTACTAAGAAACTTGGTTGTAGCACACACTCGTACTCCTAGATAATAGATAATTTCTAGTCACTATGGGTGGGTGGTTGATGGGTGCTCTGGTGTGATTTGCTTCTTCTTTTCCTATCAATCATCTATCGTCCTTATCTCTCTTCTTCTTTTTTTTTGTTTTTTTTGTTTTTTTTGTTTTGTTTACTCTCTTGTTACACCTCTAATCTTTGGCACTTACATGATCACCTAATTGTGTTGCAAGTGCTGTAAAACTAAAGCAGCCTGCTCTGATTGTTAATGCCAGGCTTTACTTAAAGATTTGGTAGAGGGGAATAATAGGCTCACCAGCGGTAGATATTGTATCATTATAAAAATAGAGCAGGGTGATGTTACTGTAGCATGAGTGGCTAGTATAGTCGCGGTATGAGATTGTGTTTTAGTCTAGTCATGGTGTGAGATAATGTGCTAGTCTAGTTGTGGTGTAGACGAAACTGCATGTGGTTTTCCTCATGAGGAGACTGCATGGAGATGGCGGCATCTTCGATCCACCGCATGTCACAATTGCTTACCAAAGCTCTGCTTTTCCCTTCATAGTTTTTGTCATCTTTTGGCCAAATCACTCAGTGGTAGTTGCTGTGTGTGTGCAAGCGTGTGTGTGTGTGTGTGTGTGTGCATGCACACGGGCATGTGTGTGTGTGTCTGTACTTGCCGTACACCTCACCAGCTGTTTCTGTTTGTCTGCTGCCTTGTTCCAAGATTCTGCTTGCTAATTCTATTTTGGTCTTTGTTGTCATTCTGTTGTTGCTGTGCTTTGCATGGTTTTTTAAAAAATTTACTAAAGCATGGTTGCTGTGGTTGAAAAATTTTTGTTTTGTTTACACATTCTCTATGACTTCTCACTCCTGCTAACACCAGAAGCTCTATAAGTTCCAAAAGCAAATGACTTGCATGGATTATGGCAAGGTTGAAGTGAAGCCCTCATGCAATCACTGAGTGGACATCTCATGACATTGAGCAGCAAATAGAACATGTTTTTCCAAGAAAGACTAACTCTCATTTTCTTACGCTTAAAGTAACTGCTGAAAGCTTGTAGAAAGATTGCTTGTACTAAAATAGGGTAGTGGTAAAATTGTTTGTAATGTAAGAGGGATGGACTGGAAGGATTTTTCCAATGTTGTTAGCACAGCTTGCAGAGAGGTGAGGAGGCATTGCCTGTGTGGGACTAGAGGATTGATGTATTCATTTTCCTGCTAATTTTGTGTGATCTGTACTACTAGTTGTTGTTTTTGGTGGAGTTCCACGATATTTACTCATTCTTCAGATGTGCTGTTTGATCAAGCAATCTCCTAGCCTTCCAATTGGTGTGAGTGACTTGGTCAGGGCAGAGTACCGGGTTGACAAGGGCTTCTGTAATCTGTCTCTGGCTCAGTTTAGGCAAGTTTGGACACAATGTTTGATCAAACAGTGGCATGTTACCGTCTGACTACCCATGCACATAGACAAGCGTGATGATGGTTGAGGTTCACAACCAACAAGCAAGACTCACCTGGCACTTGCCACTTATGCCTGTGACTTTTCTCAAATGTTCATGGCATATCTGTTTTTGTGGCCATAGCTTTAGTATTATTATTGACCTGTACTTAGACTCCTGGGTTTTTTTTGACCCTCCAGATTTCTTATAAACATTTGACGAGAATAAACTTTTGACTGATGAATAATATGTCTTGCTCAGAAAACTTCTGAAATGACATTTTCCAGTTTTAAATACTTAACAAAATTTTATATATGAAAATTGGGCATGATGATTAGAAAGAGGTCTTCCTTGTGCTAGTGAGGATCCTGTAGAGTTGCTAGTAGTCCTTGGTAGTGCATGGGTAGCCAGGTGGCTGGCTGGTTCTGCTGAGAAGCTCAGGAAAAGCCAACTGTAAGGGAAATTAGGAGAAATTAGCTTAATGTAAAGCCCAAGATGTTGATACAGAACTCTGTGTAGAGACTAATTCACAATTGTAAGAAACATTTTTGTTTAGTAAACACTGTTTGGACATTCCTTCTGGCCAGCTGTAGAGCCACTCTTTTTTATTTTAAACTGACCAAAAAACCACTAAAGAGATGGCTATATCACAGTTCAGTATTTTTAAATCAGGTCATCACCCCCCATACTTCATGTGATGTCATGAAATGTCCGTATCAGGCCAGGTAGACATTTTGGTGCTCGGTGTTGAGAGTGCAGACTGTTGGCTTTTCTCTGAGTTTGTCCGCCGTGCAGGTTGTTGATATTTTCATGTGATTTTTGTTGTTGTGTCACTGCAGCACATCTTTTCTCTTTTGTTTCTTGCTTTCAGTGCGTAACCCTGTTAGTGTGAATGTAGGTCCTCAGCTGCCTCCCCCCCCGCCGGTCGAGCCTTTAGCTCACACGCCTACGCTCCGACAGCGCCTGCTGGAGCCGCCGCGTCTATCTTTACAAACACCAATTGTCCACGCAGGTGCCGCCTCTTCGTCCTCCTCTCCCAGCCCCCTCCCGGCCAGGGGCAAAAGTGGGGGGCCGGGTGGCACAGGGACTCAGCACCCTGGTGCTACCGGCACTCCAAGGTTTGCAGGAACACCCTACGCCAAAGTTGTCAAGTCCACGGGCAAAGCGTCCGTGGGGATGGGTGGTCAGACGCCCGTGTCTGTGGTGAGGAAAGGCATATCCTCCAGCCTGGCCTCCAGACTCCAGACGAGTGAACAGCGTGGGGCCAGCCCCCTGCCACAGCACAGGCTGGCGACCTCCACCCCCACGGCACAGACTGGCTCAGGGCCCAGCAGCACGGTCCTGGCCAATGTGTGCCACCAGCCGGCAGGCCACAGCGCGGCACAAACCTTCCCCTCGCTCACCCATGCCCTGCAGGCTGAGCAGAATGGCCCTGATGGGGCGCCGTCGGTAAAGAGCCTGTTGGCCAAGAAACTGTCGCAGGCTGTCCCCGATCAGGAGTCTGTCCTGGGCCTACCGGCCTCCTACCCGGCCACTTCTCACCTGGCCACGGACTCCCACAACCCGTTCAGCACGATGAGTCCGCAGGCCCCATCCTATGAGCAAGTGACGGCCACCACGGTGATGGCGCCACCCTCCAGCCTCCCGGCGGTGCTCAGCTCTAGTCAGGCTGGTCAGCAACACCACCACCACATGGCTTCGTCCACCCAACAAAACCGTCCAAGTCCCACTGTCCCCTCATCTGTACCCAATGTGGCTCCCATGTCGCACTCGCTATCAAAACCCTGGCCCACGGCCGCCGTCCCCTCCTCCACAGCGCCACAAGCGGTGCACGCGGCAGGTTCTCTAGTGCTGCCAAACTCTCAGAATTGCCAGCAGAGACGTGCTGTAGTTGCTCAAGGCACCCAGTCTGCCCACATTGCACAGACGCTGGTCTCTACTGGCCCACGACCTTCTGCTCATGTGACGGGTCAGCCCGGTGGGCTAGTGGTTCAAGGCAGTGGCACGGTGGTCACCATGGCTCAGAGAACCTCGAGTGTACCTTCGACCTGTGTCCAGCAGCCAGTAGCACAGCATACAGCCATCCAACAGCAGCTGTTGGGACCAGCGCAGCAGCCACACCCACAGGCTATGACCAACAGTGGCTCTGCTGGCATTCCCCAGCAACAGCACCAACTCCAGCCCCAAATACAACACCAGCCCCTGCAGACTGTGGCCACGGGGGTACAGCAGAGCCTGAGCTCTCCCCACACAGCGGCCCTCCTAGCCCAGTCTCAGCCCCAGAGCAGCGCGCCCGTACAGCAAACCGTCAGCTCTGCCGTGACCTCTGCCCTGCCCGGTGCCTTTGTGTCCCCCTCCCCTCCCTTGGCCGCGGCTGTGGGCGTGAATCACATGATGAGAAATCCGTCCAGCATGCTAGTGGCCAACCACCAGCCGGGCTGCTCCCCGCACACCTCCAGCACGGTCACTGTTGTGTCGGGCAGCAGTTCCCTGCCGGGGGTGGCCTTGACCCAGTCTATCTCCTCCCCGGCGGTGGCTGCGCTCCTCACCTCCACCACGCAGCAGCCCTCTCAGATGATTATCTCTGCTCCGGTCATCGCCAACCCTCCCATGGTACAGCAGCGGCCGGCAACGGTAACTGGCCAGGTACCCACCACGCTGGTCATTCAAACACCCCCTGGCACGATTGTCATGCAGCCTCGTCAGTTGTTGGTTCAGGGCAATGGCACCACGACATTCGGCTCCATCCAGCAGACGGGCCAGGGAGGGACGGTCTCTTTCATTGTCCCGCCACAGTATCGTCAGAACTCCTCTGTGACAGTGCAGGGTTTGAACATCATCCAGCCGCAAGCCAATGTGGGTGTGATGCCATCCATCGCGCTGACCAATGCCAGTGGTGGACAGTCCCAGGCCCAGAACATCTTGCAGACCGCCCAGGTGCAACAAAACATCCTCCAAGCTGCCCCCAGCACACCCCAGCCAGCTGTGGGCACAGCGCTCTCCAACCAGCTGGGGCCTCGCCAGATTGTCCTCACTCGCAACCCTACCACGTTGCCAGTGGGCATGCAGATTTCCTCGGTGCAGGCGACCTATGCGGGCAACGCCTCCAACTTGTGCATTGCTCAAGCCCAGCAGCCGTCGAGCTACGTCATCCAACCATCCTCCATCGTGTCATCGAACTTGCCCCTGGCCTCGGGTTCCTTGACCCCCTCGAGCCACACAGTGGCGGTCAACATTCCCCAAGGACAGCAACAAGCAAGTGTTCCACCCAGTGTGCAGCTGCTCCAGCAGCAAAGCTCAAACTGTGTAGAATCTCAGTGTGTGGTCAGATCTGAGCCCAGTTCTCTACACAACCAACAGATGGGCCAACACCTCCCCTCCTCAGCTCTGGTCAGTGACGGTCAGAAACCGCAGCAGACCCTGGCCCAGCAAGCCATCCTGGCATCTCAGTGCAACGGTGTGAGCCATGACACCAACGGCATCCTGGGATCACCAGAGTCTGTTTCCTCAGACTACCCTCCGTCCCCCGTGTCGTCGAGTGGGGTGGGCTCGGACCGCGAGTTCCCCAATGGCAAACTGACAGACTCGGACAGAGACATGTTCTTGAAGAAGACTGATGTGGCCAAGTTTGTGGACAAAACTTGTAAAACGAACGGCTTTATTCATTCCTGGGACTCGAGTGTTCAGCATGAGAAACAAGACGTCAAGGCTAGCTCAAACGGACCCACAGTCCATGTGGCTGCTCATAATATTCCTATGTCTGCACAATCAGGGGGTTTAGTCAACGGCTGTGTGGCCGACAACTCTCCCAATTTTAGCACCCCCAACCAGCAGCAGCATAATGTGCAGGTGGTAAACGCCAACGGCAACGCCTCGGTGCACGCACAGCCCACTCCCACGCCCCAGCCCCAGCCTCAGCCGGTGGTCAGCCAGGTACAGCACAGGCAAGTCATTGGCACACCGCAGCAGATCCAGAAGCACCAACAACAGCAGCAGCAGCAACAGCAACAACAACAGCAGCAGCAGCAACAGAAGGCCTCCGCCTCACAGCTACCTCAGCCCCCAGCCACGGGTCCCAAACACATCCAGGCAGGGGCCACAGGCTTCCTGCAGCACCACCAGAGCCACGCCCCCCAGCGACCCCGCATCTCCACGCTGCCCTCGCCTGCCAACATGGCCGCGCACAACTCCAAGGACACCAATGGTCCGTTGCTGGAGCAGCGAGCCAAGCCCTCGCTGGTCCCAGGCCAGGGCACGCAGACCCAAACCTTCACACCCGCAGGGGCCAAGAAGAAACTTCCACTGAGAGGGGGTCGGGTCGAGGCCCCCACGCCTCCGGTGCAGGTGCAGGCGCAGGACAAGCTGGTGCTGAGGGCGCGGGTCAAGAGGAAAGGTGGGGAGGGTCCCAGTTCGACAGCTGGTCCCAGTGGTCCTGCGCAGCCGGTGCTGGAGTACATGTGTGAGTGGGGAGCCTGTCGCAGGTGAGCTCTAGACCTACCCGCTACAGCCCTAGCTCCTTGGAAGTTATAGTTGTAGAGGTAGCAGCGGGGGGATTTGTTGCCATATCTCAGACACACCCACACATGCATGCACATGCGCTTACACATGTACACATACACACGCACACAAAATTCATTTTCTCTTTGTCATGTATGTCCTTGTATACTTAAATTCACACACTCTTACACATACACACACTCTCTTCTCACTCACATTTACACTAACACATATACACTCTTTTCTCTCACTCACATGTACATTTAAACATACACACACTTTTTCATGTACATGCACACTTAAATTTACATACACTTTTTTTACTCGCATGCAATTTACTTGTGCGCGTGCTCTCTTCTCACTCAGGTTCACTTACACGTACACACACACACACACACTTTTCTGGCAGTTTGCCTGCGATTTCTAAAGGCTCACAAGAGCAACAAACTCGCTGCAGACACACACTCGTCTCATTCAGGCACATTTACACGTACACACATTCTTCCCATTCAGGCACATTTACACGTACACACACACTCTTCTCACTCATGTGTACTCTGTACTCTCTTTTTTGTTTCCCACTTACACACACCATTCTGCCTGTGCTCACCCACCTTTTCTTGCTCAGCACATACAGGCATAGCAATTTAAAAGCGGACTCATTAAACCACGCACACAGCAATACACAGGCACTGTGTACACACAAACAGGGCTACGCACCATGACTGCACACGTATATATACTCTCTCTCTCTCTCTCTCTCTCTCTCTCTCTCTCTCTCTCTCTCTCTCTCTTTCTCTCCCCCTCCCTCTATTTCTCACATGCGCACACACACACACTCACAATCACGCACACTGTAAGTCTACCCCTACAAGGGAAAATTAGAAAAATTTTTAATAAGTCAATGTTTTTTTTTCTGTTCTATGTCATGTTCACGTCCATGGCAATGTGTATACTGTCTATTGTATAATTGAAAACTAAACCTAAAATAGAGCTTTCTGTGCCCACAGGTGTTTCAACAGTGCCCGCCTGGTGTTCCTGCATGTGTTCCGCCAACACTTGCCCAGCGCGGCGGAGAGCTCGTGCCAGTGGGCCGCTTGTGAGAAGCTGACACGCAAACGATGGTCGCTGGTCTCGCACATACAGGTTAGTGATGGGTTTTTTTTTTGGTTTCTTTGGTCAGGTTTGGGGAGTTGTTTGTGAGACATGTTGGTTTGTGGGCGGATGGTTTGCAGGTGCTCTGGTGTGGTTTGCTTTTTTTTCCTATCAAAAATCTGTCATCCTGTTCTCTTCTTTTTTGTGTGTTTGTTAAGTTACTTTCTTGTAACTTCTGTAATCTTCGGTACTTAAATATATTATCTTATTGTGTTGCCAATACCATAAAACTTTTATTAAAACTAAAAACTGGAACACGTTTGTGCAAATCCTGCACCACACAGAAGTATCTGGTCAGCATCGTTCCAGTCACAGGACTTCCAATTATTTGGAGGATAGTAGGTGGTTGGTGGGTGCTCTAGTGTGGTTTGCTCCTTTTTGCTCTATCAAACATATATCATCCTTATCTCTCATCTTATTTTTTTGTTCGTTACCCTCTTAGTAACTTCTTGAATCTTCAGCACTTGTATGACCTTTTTGTGTTGAAAGTGCCGTAAAAACGGTTAAAACTTCGATTAAGTGTAAAGTATTGAGTTATGGTTTCCCTTGTTGGTTCCAGGACCAGCACTGCTCGGAGATGGCCATGCGGACTGCCTGCCAGCGAAGGTTTGCCGTCCAACAACAACAACAGGGGAACACATCTGTGCCCACCCCGCCCGCCCCTCCCCAGCCCATGATCTACCCCCCGGATGCGGCCATGCAGGCCATCAGAAGGTTCTCCATAAAGCCTCCCTACTCAGAGTTTGCTGTAAGTACACTGGACAAACACCTGCTGGTAGCTCAGTAGCTGTCCCTTAATTCTGCCTGTCTATAAAAATCTATGAAATTCTCTTATGGACACCCCGGGAAAAGGGACCATCCATGGCCACATTTTTTATCATGCATTTCTATCCTTTTCTTTCTGCCTGGCTTTGTCTTCTTAAAAAAACACCAAAATCACTTTGAAAATTGTTACAAAATCCAGGAGAAAACATGGAAAAAACAAACAGGAAATTTTTTCTCCTTGATGAGTAGAAACTGTGTTAACCCTTAGAGTGCTGACTTCTTTCCCCTTATATTTTCCCTCTGTGCTGAATTTATTTTGGAAAAATGCCAGATTTGCACATACGCTTTTTTTTGGCTAAAAACTTTTTTGTGGGTCAAAATTGCTAATAAAGGTAAGAATAAAAGTTTTAGAATATTGAAAGTTCTTTATGAATATGTGAAGCAAAAAGTATTTTGTGAAGTTATTGTTGTAGTAGTGGTGTTGGAAATGACTGAATAAAACTGCCGGTTCATTAGATCTCTAGATCTAGACCAGAGTCTAGATGCTTCGTAGGCCTAAGTTATATCCCACAAAGTGTTAACACATTACACCCTAAGGGCCTGGACGGGAAGTCCATTGTTAGATCCTAAGCAAGGGGAAAGAACCCACCTCCCCTGAATACTAGCCTTTAAAAAACACATTTTAAAAATACTAAACAAATTCCAAAAATCCTGAAAAAATAAAAGTTAAAAAGAAAACTGAATGTAGTTTCAGAAAAATATAACTTTATGTATGCGCAAACTGTTGGAAATTTTCTCACTTTAGTTCAATCGGGGTGTCCGACCCGTCACTCTCACTCTCAGCCTCGCGGTCGGGCCCTAGATCTAAATTCTATAATTTCTCCGTCTGATCAATCGGAATCGCCCCAAACTCTTCCTACAACGTTTTCATCAAAATCTGAGCCATCTGATTTTGTCACATGCTCGTTTTTGCTCAAATCCATCGTTATTTCCGTTTTCGAACTCAATTGTGTCGCTTTTCAACAAGTCGAGGCACTTTCGAAGTGTCGGTAACGCGATCGCACTTCGATCAGCTCTAATACTAAAACTACTAGCCCGAAAAATTTAGTTTCGGTATCAAACGAAAGAAGAAACTTTTTGCTATACTATGCAAATCAAAATCCCGGCCCCAGAGTCTCGTCAAGGCGAGACTTTCGTTTCTAAAGACGCTGGGTCGGCGCGGGCGAGTCAGGGTGGAGCGCGTAAGGGAATTCCCGGGCGAGTTAGGGTGTAATGTGTTAACTCTAGCATCAAAACCCTCGAAATCATCTTCCGATTCAAGGAAAATATGCTGAATCTGATGGGACACTATTTTCATGTTTGTCGCGGGTCGCAATCGCGAATTTTCAGACTTCACAGTCACTCGACTTCAACGTGAAACATAAAACTCCTCGCGCCTCGATCGAAACACGTGACAAGAAAAATGGCGGGCGAAATCAATTCTGCGTAGCCTACCAGCCAGCAGTATAAAAATTAGTACTTCGTTCTTTTCGTATATCGCGTTATACTATGCCAATATCTATCGGTCGCGATCAGCACTTTACGGAAGTTCGGGCCGTCGCGACCGTTCGCGATCAGCACTCTAAGGGTTAAGTACCCTACCCTGGCTAGAGAGCTGACAACAATCATGTGGTTTTTATGAGGACTAATGAACACTCCATGGGTGTGTTGTAGCAAGTGCCAGAACAGTGTTAAAATAGATGTAGTGTTCTTACAAAATACTGGCTGGCTATCCCTCCAGGAGATCCCCAGACTGTTTATTTTGGCTGGTCCAGGAACACCATGTGGTAAATCTCCGTAATTACAGAAAGATTTGAGAACAGTTGGGATTCAGATGTTACACAAGTTGACTCTTACTTATGTGCCATTGTAGGGTACTGCATCAGTGCTCCACCGGTTGCTTTTTGTTGATGTTGTTTCCTTGAACGAAAAGATATATATAAAATGTTACAAAGTTTTTGCCTCCTTTTCTTTTCGACAGGATCAAAGAGAGGGACCTGTCTCCAAACATATACGTTTGACCGCTGCCCTCATCCTTAGGAACATTTGCAAGTGCTCCTCTCACGGGAGAAGGTAGGTTTGGCCCGGTCCTAGGGTTGTGGGTGATGTTGACACTGTTGTTCCACTTCGGGGGGGGGGGCTCTGTTGTACATTCTCTCTCTCTCTCCTTAAACAATTGACCAAGCTCTGTTGGTGGATGGTTGGCGATTGCTTTGGTGTGGCTTGCTCCTTTTATCCTATCAAACATCTATCGTCTTTATCTGTCCTAGTGGGTGGTTGATGGGTGCTCTGGTGTGGTTTGCTCCTTCTTTCCTATCAAACAACTATCGTCCTTATCTCCCCTCCTGTTTTGTGTTTGTTACTCTCTTGTAACACCTCTAATCTTCGGCTCTTATATGACCTTATTGTGTTGCAAGTGCCGTAAAACTCGCTAAAACTAAACTTATCTCTCCTAGTTTTTTAGTTTTTGTTTGTTACTCTCTTCTAACACCAAATCTTTGGCACTTGTTTGACCCTATTGTGTTGCTTGTGCCATAGAAGTCAAATTAAACTAAAACTGAAGGCCCCCCCCCCCGAAAATTGATGAAGCTCTGTGATATATTCTCTCGCTCTTTAGACAATTGACCAAGCTTGTAGGTTCTCTCTCACTTTGTGGTGGGTGAGTGCTCTGGTGGGGTTTGCTCCTTCTTTCCAGTCAAACATCTGTTGTCCTTATCCCTCCTCCTTTTTTGTGTGTTGCTCTCTTGTAAAATTTCGAATGTTCTGCACTTAAATGACCTAATTGTGTTGCAAATGCCTTAAAACTCTTTCTGAAGTTTAAACTAAAGCTCTGTGGTAGATCCCCCGGGACAGTGCCACTGACTGAAGTGTCTTTAGGCCGTTCCCAAAGGGGGACATTTCTCGATCTAAAGCACAGTAGAATTGTAAATGGGCTGATCCAACACTGTCGTGCTCATAACTGCCTGAACTACAACAGGGCACTGCTGCTTTTTCTTCTTTCCTAATCCTTACTATCATCATTATCCTCTACTTCTTTTGTATGTTTGTCACACTCTTGTGACCTGCTATTTCTGGGGTGCCTTGATAGTCGAAGCAGACTTTATGCTGTTGAAGCTAGAGAGGTGAGCAGAGTAGGTCTGATTCCCTGTAAGGACTTATCTGTTGACATCCACCCCTTGGCGCTCATATGACCTTATGCAATTGTGAGCGCCTTAAAACCTCTACTAAAACTAAAAAAAGCTTTGTGGTATGTTCTCTTTCTCCTAAGACAACTGATGGAGCTCTGTTGTACTCATCTCTCTCCTTACACTTATTAAGCTTGTATTTTGTCTCTCCCCTCTGACTAACCAAGCTCTGTTGTACGCTCTCTCTCTCCCCTCAAACTTAACAAAGCTCTGTAGCACGTTCTCTCTCTCTCTCTCTCTCTCTCTCTCTCTCTCTCTCTCCCCCCCCCTCTCTCTCTCTCTCTCTCTCTCCCCCCCCCTCTCTCTCTCTCTCTCTCTCTCTCTCTCTCTCTCTCTCTCTCTCTCTCTCTCCTCTCTCTCTCTCTCTCTCTCTCTCTCTCTCTCTCTCTCTCTCTCTCTCTCTCCACCAAGCTCTGTTGTACGTTTTCCCTCTCTCTTTTTTCAGACCAGTCAAGCTCTGTTGTACGTTGTCTCTCTCCTGAGACTAACCATGCTTGTACATTCTCTCTCTTCACAGACTAATCAAGCGCCATGAACAAGAGCTGAGCTACAACACGATGAACGCAGTGGAAGCCTCCACGGCCTTGTCTCACTGCCTCTGGGAGATCAGCCAGTGCTGCGAACAGGCCCCTCCTGGCTACTGCAAGTCATGATGACCTGAGGGGGCCTGGACTGACCGGTTACTGCCCTCTCACATTGGCCCTCACACATTGGGGCATTGGTGAAAAGCTGTGTGTTGACTAGTGTGTCCCCGCACCTATAGGACGGGGAACTGTGCTGTCGCGCCTTGCTGCAGCTTTCCGAGTGTAAGTGTAGGGTCTGTGCAAGAAACGTTGACACGTGTAGCGTGTAGTGAAGTGTCTTGCCCCGGAGCCTGAGGTCACCAGCGCAACACAAGTCATTGTGTGAGACACTGTTGCTTCCTGCATACACACATTCCATTTCTAGCTGTGGCTGCTGTGCTCCGAAACAAATGACCCTGATGGCTCTGGTTTGAACTGCTTAACTTGTTGATATACAGAATCAAAAGTGCAAAAATGTTCTGAGTGGAATCAGATGTGTATAGCGGATCAAACTGAGAACCACACAGGAATGACGCAGGGATGTTTGACGGACTGTCAGTAATTAGATGTTGTGCCAGTAAGATCGTAAAACCCTGTTGAACTGACCATGTTATGGGGGTGTGGGGAGGGGGGGATTGTTTGTGTACTGCTGTTGATGAGATGGGAGTGAGCGCTACGGGTAACTATGCTGTACCAGCCAGCATCCCTTGTCCTGAGGGAGGGAGGGAGGGAGGGTTGGAGTGGGGGGAGGGGGTGCTGAGCTGTGTGCCACTGAGAATTTGGGCAGAGATGGACCTTGATGAAGTGCGTGCTTGATTTGTCTATAAAAAGTGTGTGCTAGATTTGTTTATTGGAAGTATGGGTTTGATTTGTTTATTGCAACCGTGTGCTTGATTTGTTTATTGGAAGGCATGGTGTCTGTTGTCTCTGTAAATTAAGTTTTTTTGTATTTTGTGTGTTGTTTTTGGGTTTGTTTTTGTTGCCATCTGAAATGGTGTAAATACAAAAGTTACCAGCTAGTGAATGCATTGCTCTTGTGGGTGAACATTTTTTGTTATGACATAGTACAGTTTAACTGGTTGGGATATGGAGGAGGTTTTTGTAAGGACATATGAGGGTTCTGCTGATTGGGATGTGGAGCACATGTGAAGACATATAGAGCCCGGCGGTTTGTTGTGCATTAACCATCTCATGTGCCATGATATTGATGGGCCCAAAGCTCACTGGCTGTACAAACTTGCTGTGTGCTTGTATTGACCGAACCTCTCCCTTTGCACCTCGCTTTTTCTACTTTGTAACTCGTCATAGTTGCGTGAGTGGATGGGTGGAAGGTGGACACTATCTTATGCTCTGATGTTTTCAGGTTCCCAAGTGGCTCGCTCTGGTGTCTGCGGTGTAGATGTAAGGCACTTCGCTGTCGCCCTCAGGAGACCGTAGTTTGGTTTCCGAGAGTGGATACAATTTTTATTGAGTTTCTCAGTCTTTCTGCTGGGATATTGTATCTCTATTAGCCCGGGTTGGGCATGACAGGTCGGATCTGAAGCCTGCCTCCTTAGTGATCTAAATTGTGTCAATGGGACTTAAAAACACCTTTTTAACGGCGACTTCTTATGAAACTGTCTCCAGCGAGAGAATGGGGGAAGTTGTTGCCTGATGAGTGGCAGTGTGCAGCGGGCCACAGATGGCACACAGTACTGGGCCCTCGGAGCATCATTTCTTGCCAGTTCCTGAATGTGTTCTCTGAGACTGTTCATTTTGTCCTGTGGGTTCTGTTTCTGTCAAGTGGTAAATAACGCGAAAATATGCATTTGTGTCACGAGCTGGTGAAATCAGGCGTTCGTCAGTTTTTAGGCATATGGAGTTATTGGTATCATCTTAAGGTTTGTTCAGTTGTCTTGTTTTTGATGACCAAATACCCATCTGTCTTGAAGTAGAAGTTGATATATTTGGGATGGAATGAGGTGTTGGTCATGTGGTGTTAAAGGTAAGAATAGCGAGAAAATGGCCACCAAAGTTTACCTACTTCCCAAGCTTGAGTGTTCTTGGAAACTGCAAGTTTATGCATTTTTTGCATTTGATTAACATTTTTCATTGAAATACATACAGAAATGTTGGGTTTTTTAAATAATCGTAAAAGATGTTGACGACACCCACCCACCCAAGATAAAAATTACCTGAGGGGAAAAAATGTCGGATTCTTTGATCTCATTATTTTGATGAGCGCCTGATTTCAACATGAAGTCACATACTTTTATTTGCATTTATTTACGTTGTTGTTATCAATCCAGTGCGTTTATTTGCAATATTTGTTTGAACCTTTGCAAATGACATGAAAATACACATCTTGATTTGTGTGTATTTGCTACTCTGGATTATTCACCACTGTCAGTTTGTTACGTTATCTTAATCTTCTGGGGTTTTGGAGACTGTTTTTTTTGGTAGAACTTGTATTTTTGGGAGGATTTTGAGGCAAACTCTCCTACTACTTTTGGTTTCTGGATGTCGTTTAGTGCCAGTGGAAAGTGGAGAAGATGGGTGAATTAGTGGGAGCTGCTGGTAGCACATCAGAGAGGGCATGCTGGTGCTACTGTCTCTCGACTCTAGAGGATTCAGTGGTCAGTGTAGAGGTATGTTTGTTGGCGGGGGGTATTATCTGTCTGTTTATCTTTCTGTCTGCCCGGTGCAGTGAAGAGTTAGAAGAGGGTACAGACCACAGATTTATATATTTGTGAGCGATGGATGCGGAGGAGTGATGGTTGTGATGGATATAGTGGCTGTGGTGGATAGGTACAAATGATGTGACTTTGGGCAGACTAGATGATGTTGCAGGTTTATGATGTTGAGTTCAAGAATTTCCACAAGCGAAGACAGAAAGGTGTGCTGGTTAATGGCAGATAGCAACATGATGGATTGTAATAGTCCAGTGCAAATTATTAGCTGACATTAATTTCTCTTGTTGATGCCAGTGCTGTGGTCTTGGAAGTGTGTGTAAGCTTGTTTGACTGTTTGTGTTTTTGACTCTGCGTGAGTTTGACAGTGTGTATTATTTGAGTGTGCTTGTGTGATTATGCATGTGCTTGAGTGTGAGAAATGTGTGGTTTCACTGATTGCCAAAGCTAATGTGGGCGGTGTTGGGCGAAGGGTGTGACTGTGAGACTTGACTGGTGCCTTGCATTCCTATCTCTGGTGCTGATCACAACGCGAAGGTAAAGGGAAATGATCTCTCCTCCCCTCGTGTTGAGTAAGCTCATATCAAAGAGGTATTTGAAACTGATGTACAAAAAAAAAAAAGGAAAAGGAATCCTGTGAGAGTAGTGGTAGTATTGTAAATAAAAAGTAGAAGTGTGATGCTTTGTCCAGGATTTCCTGTATTTTTTCTGACGTGAACTTGTGGACTTGATTGTTGTGTCTGCAGCGAGTTTGTTGCTCTTGTGAGCCTGTCGGAGAGAGAGAGCCACAGGCAAATTGCCAGCACAGCACCTCTCTTGATACCTGTAAGTGCCTTGTGGGTTGTTCTTTGTTCTGTGTGGTCTGGTCTGGCAGAGATGGGGGGAGAGAAGGAGGCGGGAGGGGGGCCTGATTGTGCTGGTCGGTGAGAGAGCGAAAGTCATGCTGCCATTTGGCCTACTGTTGGGCTGCGTGCCCGCCTGTTGTTTGTTTGTTGTGTCGGGTGAGGATCTCCTGCTATGGGGAAAGGGGGGACAGGAGCGCTCATTACTTACTCTTTCTGTTGTATATTTTTAAAACCATGTTTATGTCACAGAAAAGCAAAGTGGTAAGCAAAATGAAATATGTCCATATTTTTTCTTTCTTTTTTAAAAACTAATTGTACGTTCTGTAAAAAAAAGCAACAACTGGTGAACTGTATAGCTGCTTGATATTTCTGTGCCCTTTGCTTGTCGGCCTATGCTGGGTGTTTACGCTGTGTCTCTCGGTGCCGTCAGTGTAGGGAACTGTGTCAACCATTGTGTGTATACAGGTGTGTATAGTACCATTGTTAATGTAGGAGGAACCGGTCACAAATGTGAGAGTTGTGCGTCCTGCCAGAGGGAAACAAGAGGCAGACTTGTGTCTGTGACTTGACACATCTGTAACTAGACAGCCCTAAACTTGTGGTTTGAACAGAGGGGGT